GGAAAGAAAAAGGAAAAACAGAACAATAAAAGAAAAAAATGTTCACGCACAAGAGAAAAATCTTATTTGAATTTAAGAATATCTTACTAAATTATTAATTGATACCATGTTTGTATATATAAAATATAAAACTGTTACTTAAGCAAATAAATTTTTATTGTTTTTCCCGGTTGTTATTTCTCTGTTATAAATTCCAACCAGTATAATTATGGGTAGAAGATAAGAACGATGGGTTTTTTTTTTTTTTTTTTTTTTTTTTAGATTTTGAGGTCTGAAGGCCAAATATGATTTAAAACAACATACAACTAGCTGATGGCAACAGGCAACTTTATAACTCCACCTTTTCTTTCACAAGAATGAATGATGTAGTGAGAAACAGAATTTAGGAAGCTGGTTTTTGTTTTTTAGCAGTGAGCATATCAGCAGTAGAGGTCAAGCAAAACATATCTTTTTCCCATAGCAAGAACTTTCCTAGGCTTGTGAAATGGAAAATTGTGGAGAAAGATTTTTTTTTAAACTGTTTTTCTAAAAAATAACAAGAGAAATTGAAATAACGTGCATGCAACTGAACTGGAAGAGGAATGCAGTTTAGAAGAACTGGAATGCAGCTTAACATCTTCCTCAGTTGTTTTTAAAATGTGGAATCACTGACAGGAATGTGTTTTGTAAGTTATACAACAAAAAAAGCAGCCTTCAAGATACTCAATTTTGAAATTATGGAGATAATTAGCATATACATTTAATAGCTGACATCTTGGTAGGGAAAAAACCATCCCATGCAGTATCAATACCCATGGCTACACTAGCACCAATTTGAAATCGTAAGAAATTTTGATACGAAAAAAGTCCATTTAAAGAGTGGTTTGAATGGTGATAACTTCCAAAACCTGGAGTAATCTTGAATTACTGGGAAGAAGAGAGGAAATTTAGAAACTTGGTCAGAATAATTAACTGCCCTCTTCTTTTGGCCATAATTCTACAAAGATCCAGTAACGCTGGGTTGTTTATCCAGAGGTGCTTTGCTTTTACACGTTTATGGATGGGGGAATCACTAAAATGATTTAGGCTACCAGCACTGGTGTTAGCTTATTGACCAATGCTTGGCTTAGTAATGCCACCTGTTCTGCCTAATTTAATTAAAAAAGAAAAACAACCAACAGAAACATACAGCTAAAAGAAAAACACCTTTGCATTTCTGACAGACAGAAAACTGAAAAAGCAAAAACTATATTCATAGGTGAAAATATAGCAAAGGCTACAAGGCAATCAGAACAGTTAACACCTTTTTTGTTGCTGTGCTCAGTTCAGACTACCAAACTTGGAATCAGTTGTGGGAGCACTTTAGGTGGCTTGCTTTAAATGGGGCACGACAGCATTGCTTTACCTGTTCAACCACTAGGATCTTGGGCTTTCCCTGCTCCTGCAGTTTCAGTGCACAGAATCCTACATGCAAAAAATCAAGCCAAACAACTCAAGCAGAAGAAATATTTGCAAGTATCTGCCTATTTCTCTAAGCAAAGCAGCGAATTTGTGCAGCTTTAGTAGTTTTTATGGTGCTGCATTTGTGGTAGTTGTGGTGACATTAAAACCAAGTGCAGTGCCATCTCCACACGCCGGCATGAAAATACCGTCGTGTGCCAGCAGGGCTGGCTTGTGCTGCCATCGGTGTCAGCAGAAACAGAGCGAGTCCCCTGCCTGGACTCTTGAAGCCCAGTGGTTTCTCTTGCCCTTGGCACCCTAGGGAACCAAACTTCATCCTAATGCACACTCATCATTAACGATCTACGTACAAAATAAATCTGCAAACACCCTCCCCCTCCAAATGGATATTTCCTATATAAGGTGACTGTGTTTTCATAAGGAACGTATTTTTAAATAATATTAACCTTCTTTCCACTCACAGCCAGATTTCAAATTGTTTTGTTGTTTATGTTGCTTTCTGCTTCTGAGTGCCTTCATTGTGTTTCCAGGAATAACTGAGTGACAACTAATTACAGTCTTCTGATCACATGAAGGAAAATAAAGAAAGTGAAAAGTAACTAAAAAGCTAAAAAAATTGGCAGCGTCACAAGTTCTGCTTCTCCCTAAATGACAAACAGCACTTCCCCACTGTGTTACTAAAATCTATAGATCATCTTACAGACAAAAGAAAATAAATTCCTTGCATATGCGATATCTTTTGGCAAAAATGAATTGAAAACTGCTCATCAGACCAGCTGGATAGAGGATGCTCACACAATCTTCTACTGGGCTTTATCAGACCAAAGTATTTTTCAGCAACAGCAGCCAAATGAGAACACTATGCTTCAAGGAAAAACAATGATACATTGAGTGAGAAAAACTAACGCAGAGATCAGCGTCGCCTTCTCATTTGGCTAAGGACACACAGAGAGGGACTAACAAACACCATATGCTTTACCTGACCGGGCGTGATGCCCTATAGCTGAACCACAGGCAATAAACACGAGTTTGCAAGTGCGACCATTCAGACAAAGACGAGATGTCTCTCCCTCTCTAGGAGTTTCTTCACCATTTGTAAAGTTACACCTGAAGGAGGGGTATGCCAGCCCAGCTCCCCGTGCTACTGACCGCTCTGAGAGCATCCCTCTGTGAGCGCAGCACTGTTGCAGGGACTGTGCTGCGCTAACACTATTTAGCAGAGACCACAGGTTAGGAGAAAACAATCTCAGAGCAGCTAATAACCAGGCAGCTTTATTGCTAACAGCAGCAATACCTGCGTGGAAGGACGGACAACTACCTCACGCTCTCCCATTTTTCAGCTGTGCTGTTTTCACACGCCATGCAAATTTGAGCTGCCAAACCCAGCTGCAAACACAGAATAGGAGCTACTTAAGTTCCCATTTCTCCAGCAGGCTAAAGAAATCAGACTTTTCCCAAGCAGTGCAACAAAAAGAGCTGTATTTATCAGGGAGCTACAGTTCCCTGCCCATCATGCCTTGAACAGCTGTAGTGAGTGAGCTGGTTTCTGACGGACAGCCAAGACGTGTAATCTGAATCACACCATCCCACTGCTTATTCAGTGCCGATAGCTGATGCTACCCTCATGTCGCTCGCTGGCTTGCTTTTTTTTTAACATTTTGACACTAGTCCTGAAAAGGAAGGGTTTAAGTTAAACCCTTTTCAATAATGCAAATGTGTTTTTGCAATTAAAGCCACACAATTAGCATTGACAAGCTCAGGTCAGCAGAACATAGATTATACCGTTCAAATGCTCTGCCACTCAGTGTCTCCAGCAAAAAGCTGCAGGAGAGGAGAAGAGGAAAAAAAAAAAGTCTCCACACATTATTTAACAACTTGTGCTCTGATGCACTGCACCACTTGTGGATTTGTGGAGGGAGGTTCATTCATTTATTTACGTAAAATCTCTTTGGCTCTGGCCTCCTTCTCCACTGGTTCTATTCCTTCAAGACAACAAGAACTATTATTCAGGGCAAGAAGGCTGGTAACATTTAGCAGCATTGACTTCTCAAAAAAATCTTAAACAAATTTAAAAAGGCTCAAAATCCTTGCCTTAAAAATGTTTCCCTTCATTCTTCGCAAAAAAAAGTTTTTGCTTAAGATCTCTCTCACTCAGCCACTCTTACTGCCTAGACATAGAAATCACATAGAAATTTCTCTGTCCGTGCAGTGATATAGTGATTAATTTTTAACACTGCTCTTTTTAAAGGTATAAACAGTGTTTGTGCATGACCAGAAAGCTAAGCGTAGAATCTAAAAGAATTTCTCTCTTGCTAATTTCTACTCAGCTGTACTTAGTTCTGTTTTCTCAGAAATCTCTTTATTTCATTAATAAGAACATTTGCACCTATAGATCTTCAATATTAACTGATCACTCCCTTCTCTCTGTAAATAGACAGAAATATCCATATATTCTAAAAACAAAAATGGCATCACAGAAAAATGTAAGCAAACAGATCACTTCACCAGCACTTTACCAGTGCTAATTTTGGACTTGAGATCCTGATCCCACTTCTACATCATCTCTCAAGAAAAACTAGGTTTCATTGCCATAAATTATGAACTCTGCGACTAAAGCTTTCTGTTTGTATCTAAGCGCCACGTACATGTTTATGGCACCATTTAACTGACAATAATACTTTAAAATTAATCTGCACAATCTGATTCAAATATTCTTGTGTCTGCATCACTCTATTGCTTTCAATGGTGATGAGAGATAAGGGCCCTGACCTTAGAAATAGTGTATGATACAATGTGGTAGAATTTCATATAAAGCTGAGTTGAAGTAGGTGTTTATATGTAACTCTAAAGCACTATATTTACATTTGTTTCCAGCTCAATGTGAGGTAAGCAGCACTGGAAATCCCCAGGACAACAACAGCATGTTCTGTTGCCCTTCTGTATGTCAAGTTTATTCCTTCTGCAGGACAAGAGGATTCCCATAAGAGACTGGGAATTACCAGCATGGAATTCCCAATTCAGGAAATTCATATGTCTTGCAAAATGCTAACACGGGGATTCTTAAAAAATAAAGCGGGGTTGGGGATGGGGTAGGGGTGGGAGAGGCGGGCAGAGGAGGAGGGAGGAAAAGAAAGTTAAATATCTATCCTGTGTCCCTTGTGCTTAGTAATATTTTCAGTGCTTCAGGGCAGAAAATCAACAATCCCCTCCTGCTAGCACTAACAGTAGACATATACTTATGTATATTTACATGTGTATATACACACACACAATATTTTCCCCCTGCCAAGGCATTTGTGATACAAAAACAAGCTATTTGTTGAGTTTCACCTGTGGACCCAGCTGAAAATTTGCCTTTTAAAGCCAGTTTAATTTGAATTGTGCTTCCTTATTAGTTTTTATAATTCAAATGAAAAGCAGCACATATCCTTCAGCACACTTTATTCTACAGGTGACGTAAAAAAAAAACCACACCTGTGACCTGTCGTTTCAGTTGCACCAAGGAGAAATTTGTGTGGAATATATAATGAAAATGCAGATATATAGATCACGTTTCTTACCGTGTCCCCAGGCTTGACAGAAACTGCCACCACTGCTCCAGGCATGGGAGATCTCAAAATGCTGGAGGTGTCCTCTGCTGCTTTCTCTGGCATGTACTTGCTCAGCTCTGCAGCAACCTTCGTCAGTATTTGTAATTTGTACTAAAGAATAGGAAGAGGAATGTTTTAGAAAGCTGCACCTTGGTGAATTCCAGTCAATTATCTGCGCTATTTTATGGCATGTTTTTATATAATACATCTATTATCTATTCTTCATGGGAGTGTCTAAAAATCATTCTTTGAAATCTTTATTCAGAATTCAACTTTCATGATGTAGAAAGAAAAATACGCAATCGCAAACTGCAGCAATGAGCACATAAAAGTAAATAATCAAGTACAGTAAAGAAATGTCAGGTTCATTTAAAAATTGGGGGTAGAGAGGGGAGACACAAATTCAAAAAAAACCCAGAAATATCCTTATGCTTACTGCACATCATCTTTAGTGGATAAGGAACATTGAGGCATCCGTTTCCAGTGCTGTGCTGAATTAGAAATTGACGTTTTGGGAAAGTCTGCCAGATTTTCAATGACATGATTAATTTTAAACTTTACTTTTACTTTTTAAACATTTATTTTCATCATGTATTTAATGTTTGTAGCGAATAACTTGTTTAGACTTTGCGATTAGAACACATTAAACAATCTCACTTCCATTTTTTCATGCACAGGCAGAATGATGGAACATTTTGGAAATATAGCATCTGAATATATTTTATCTGCAATAAAAACTGATCAGCAGCTGTTATCTACCTTGAGAAAAAAAGAACATTTTCTCTAGCATGTTCTGTAGCAATTAGAAATGGAAAGGAATATGATGAACCTCAAGTGTCTGAGAGCATCCCTTTAAACAAAACCTTTCTGAAAACATAAGTGTGTACCCTAATTTCAGCTCCAGGTTTTTAGCTCTTAAAAACTTGTAATCACTTTGACGGATAATTCATTGCTTTTAGACAGATGGCCTTCACATTTGTCCCAGTGCACTTGAAAATGAATGCAAAAAGCCAGTAGATGGCAGCAGGTCTCTGCGTGAAACTCCTGCCTCAGCAAGGCCAACAGAGTGAAGACCAGCACCACACTTCATCAATAATTTAAACAAAGGTTTTAATAATAAGCATTGGATGAACCGCATTTACAATTCAAATGTGTATTTTGCTGATGTAAAGTTCAACACCTTGCTTTGAACAGTATGTTTTCCTCCAAAACAATTAGCTATTGTTTTACTAGCAATAAAATGTCTTTACTTTTCATTTTTACGCAGACAGAAAAAATCCGATATCCTTATGGTGAAGGTAAAGGGGGACTCTACCTTCTGCTTCTGTAGAGAGTAGAACAAGGTATTTAGAAATATATGCAAAAGGTGATTAACTCTGCAATGACATCTTTAAAAAGCAGCTTTCAAAGCCAAATTAAAACAACGTAACAGAGGATTATCATCCTCCATAAATGGTGTTTGGACACAGAAGATTATGTGCAATGAACAGTGCAGCTGTGCAGTTAGAAATACTTGCTTCTAATCAGAAATACCAGCAAATGGTTAAATGAACTGATCCCCCACCACCACCCCGGTATGTGTAATAAAACGCCACAACAATATTCCCAGAAGCTGTAAGTGGCACCCAAAGATTTGAGAACCCATTCCCAAACACACGCCTTGGTTACAATTGATATGGCACAGGGAAACCAGCACCATTTTGTATGCAAAAAGCTGCTTTAACTCCAAGTCTCCTGCAGGCATCATCAGGACAATTAAGACTGTGGCACTCACATTTTCCAACCCAAAATACAGCTAGTTCTCTCCCTGCACAAGCAACTACATTCAATGCGGTGTGCTCCTTGCAGTTTCTTTTTCTAAAAGTAAAGTGTGTGTGTGTGTATGCGTGCACATAGTTGCACGTACGCTGCAGGGAGAGGGGAGGTGATGCCTATAGATTTGATGACACAAGTTGCAAATAGAATTGCAGCAGTGTGACAAGTCAAATAATAACATCTTACGCATGTTTCTTTACTCTTGAGTGTCTGTTTTGCAATCAAGACATACAAGTGTCTGCCAGTTTCTGAAGGATATGATCCTTAAGTGAAATTACTGTGCAAATAAAAGCTTTTTACTCCTATTAAAATTCATCTGAGTCATAAGTGGCAAGGAAAAAAAGCTTGCGGAGTGTATTCTGCTGTCAATCTAATAAACATTCTGTGCAGAGGGACTATTTATCAAAGATAAATTGTACTTAAAAGTCCTTCATTAAATCTATGGGGGGGAATATAATTATACCAAATTGCACAGTTTCAGTATCCATGGTTAGTGTCTTCTTTGTACTCAGAGTTTGAAAATAAAAATAAGAAAAAAAAAGGAAGAACACAGAAATACGTTAGATTTGTGGACTGTATTGTTGCCTCTTGCAAGAGACTATTTTGATATGATTTCAAAGGATTAGGTTTAGATGCCATTTAGTTTTTTAAGCAACATATAACACTTCCAAGCTGCCCAATTTCAAAATTTAAACTTGAAGTGAAAGCTAGACCTTCTGCATTCATCTAGGTTACAGTATTTCGCAGGGACTGTAATACACAATTCCCTGTGCACTCCACAATATACAGCAGTGGGGGAAAAACCACGTTCCTCAGTATGCTGCACTTTAAAGCTCAGTTCTCCACACCAAGTTAAAATATCCCTACTAAACATTGTTTTTACTATCTTTATAATTTTCATATCTTTTAGATTCCTTTCTCTGCAGGACTCCTGCTTTGCTTGGAGTGAGATGTAAGAGTCATTACACTCAAAGCTTTAAAACGCAGGTCTTTGTTATTGATGAGCTGTTCCTTTTCCTTTTGTATTTGTTTATTGTTCTTTAGTCTGTTTGGGGGATAAGCAAGTTACTGTAATCAAAAAGCAAAAAATAACAACAGTAAACTTCTGGGGAAAGGCCTTTTTTGGCACAGTTGGTTCACAAATGACCTTTCAGAATATAAAAACACAAAGCCGCAAAGAAAGGTTCCTTCTTTAAGATTACCTTTGATGTATTTCTGCTGCTGGCTGGACCCCACTAAATACCCACTTAATTGTCCCTTTGTAACGCTGTTTCTTATCTCTGGGGGATGAGTTGTGCAGGGGGGTGCAGGGGGGCTGTTCACCTCACCGAGGTGCAGCCTGCGGCTCAGTGAGAGCCACAAGGCTCCCTGGCAGACCAAGTCAAACAACGCCTGCCAGTGCCACTAAAACAAAGACAATTAAGGGTATACCATATTTTTTCATTACATGATTAACACTGCTGCCAGCCTTTGATTTGGTGAGGACAACACTGAATGTAGGAAGCAGAAGTTTTGATACGCTACTAACGGAGTGCGGACAAGGTTCGGGTTTTTTTCCTTTATCCTCACAAGGAGGAGGAGGAGATGGGAGAAAGAAGGGGCATAAATTGGGGAAGGCTGTGAAGTTTGGGTTATAAATAGAGACCAGAAGGCTTCCACTGGCCTAAACCAGAAGAAACATCTGCTGGAGTCATAACTAGATTGCGGGTGGACTCTTAGAGTAGTTGTCACCAGCCACTGCTCCACTCTGCAGGGTTTCAGAGCCTCATTCTGCCAGCCAAAGCAAAGTTAATAAAGAGGTACCCAAAAGGAGCCATACCGCTTTTGATGGCATAGAAAACAGGTGTTTCTTTTCCATGAGCCTGCTGGAGTCCAAAAATTATAGTAGGGAAAAGTGATGTTACTTAATAGTTTTCTAAGGGTAACAGTATCCTGTCCTACCTCTCCCGCTAAATGAATTGGATGTTTATGTAACGCAAAACTACCTCTTACAACCAAATCTCCGTGACAAAAAAGAAGAAAACAAAAAGCTGTAATAATAGCAGTGCAAGGAGGGGGGGGGGGAAGAAAGCAAATGCAGTGAAAATTATACCTTGGGTTTTGTGGAGGTTTTTTGTAGATATATACCATGCTGATCCCGCAAGTGAGTAGAGAAGAAGTAGACTGGCTGCTACAAAAAAGGCGGCCAGGGCACATCTGACCCCATCTTTGCTCAAAAACAAGTTCTGTAGTTTGCACAGATACAGTTCCCTTGTTGTGTACAACAGAATATTGTAAACCTTCAGTAAAATGCTCAAAACTGCACTCTCTCACATCTCACATTAGTTTATTAAATATGATCTTCCCTGTACACCTGAAACTCATGTCCACAGAAGCTGTAAATGTTCAAACTCCATTGGAGATTTTATAGAGCAATCTAATGTATCACTACCCATATGTTACTTACGGCAGTGTTTGGACTGCTGACCAGATGTGGATTTTCAGTATGCTTTACCTAAATGTTCAACCATGTTTTTCATGTCATTCTTGTGGTCAGAAGGGTGAAAATCTTATGTAGCTCAGATTTCAGTAGAGAAACTGTCTGCTGTGCGTCTTCATTATTTTCACTAACCTTACAGTCTCATTTTTGGAATCAGTGAATTTTATTAACTGTGGTCACATAATTTCCCTTTAACATTCCTAATCCCCATCCTGCCTCAAGTCACTTAATTGCTCTCACCTGCGGTTTGACCATCGTGGATTCACAAGTAGCATGTTATTCAGTATTCATTCAAAGCAATACTAAGCAATGCTCCAGTGCTGAACACAATGAGCACACTGCCTTTTTTGTTAACCATTATACATTTTAACATCGTGACCATACCCTTGCTTCGACTTCCACCACAGCATCTGAACAGGAAAATGATGTATTTATTCCATACTACTTGAAGGTGTCAGGCACCAGCTTCTTTCAGAGTAAAGGATTTCTTACTCAGTCAGGAGATAAGTGACATTTTGCAAATCACAGAGGCTTTTTTCCGAGCTCTGAGTTCTAGAGTTAATTTACTTCCACAGGGTGGTGGAGGTATGGTGGACTGGCATTAACACCTGCACTAATAACAGCGCTTTTAGTCTAATGGAGGAGCAAACACTCAACATGCTACGGAGACAGTTTAAAAAAAAAAAAAAAAAAAACCACACCACAAAAATCGTGAGCCTTTAGTAGCAGCAAAAGGGAAAGAAAAAAGAGAGAAGCCTCACCACCACATAGGACACACTCCAGCAGCAGAAACTTAATTAGAATTGTAATTCAGCCACATTTCCCACTTTCCATTCCCTGTGTGATACGTAATTAACACTCTAGAGAAACCTACCAAGGGTTAAAGCCATGCAAAAACACATTCCCTCCATTTCAGGCTAAGGCTGAAGAGGCAGAATCGAACACGTACAGACTGAAAGCTTGGAGAAGTCCTCCTCTTGGAGCTAGCATGCAGCCGAGCAAGGTGAAATGAGCAGGGAGCAGCGAGGGAGCCCTGCGAGCGGAGGAGCCTGCTACAGCTGCAGTCGCTGGAGCAGCCTGTTAGCATAATGCTTTGACAACTCCATCAGCGCAGTCTCAAGGTAGCTGTCAATCAGGATGCATCATTTAATACAACAGCACACTAAGGATTTTCTCCTACAACCCACATGACAGCGTATCTACAGCTCTATTTATATCAGCGCCCAGTTGTGTTTACAATGCTGTTGTAATTAGAAAAGATGCAACAGGCAGCAATATTATTCAGATTTCCATTTTGCCATGCTGCCATGTAAAGTGCGATCTTGCTTCACAGAGTCATGCTAAATGACAAAAGCGCTATTTTCTTCAGTCTCTGTGCTCAGACAGCACTTCATTTACAGCTATCTATAATTAGATTAATGGTGTAGTGCCGTACAAAGCAGGCCCACTTCACATCAGATAGCATATGAATTAGGACAAACACTTATTTCAATTCCAGGCAGAGAAAGCAGTGACTGGGGTATTTAGCATACCCTTTATGGTGGAATGAGATGTTAATTGTGTACCATTACCTCTAAACTGCTTGCTTGTTGTATAAATCACTGTGCTAATTGATGCAGAGATAGAAACGTAGCCACAGGCAAGAAAGCAACGGAATGAGAGCTGAAGATGGTGGATAAAGGATTATCGAGTAAAACCATATGGAGATGAGGTTCCTTTGAAACCTGCCCACAAGCAGCACTACTGCGAACTACAGGGGGAAAAGTGCTGCACTGATGCGTAAGAAAAAAAATATGTATTTTACATCATCGTTTCAGAACAGAATCTTAGTAGCAAATCCGAGCCAAGCAGAAAACTGAAGAATAAACATGTGCAATGAACCTCAATACACTCTTCCAAAAGACAAGTAGCAGGCTAAGCACGCCCTGGGAATAGTCACTACACCGCCCAGATTTTGGGGGCCTCAGTTAATAAGTAACACTTGCAAACTATCCAAAGCAGATGTTCCCCCGACCCATCTGCAGACTAGAAATGCAGGCTCTTTAAACAGAAAAGGCGTCTGTGCTAAAAAAATAAAACAAGACATTCAAGTGGCTACTGATAAGTTAAATGTGATCCTTATCCTACTGATAAGGAGGCAGAAGGGAAGCAGCTTTACACACCTGTAGTAACAACCACATATATTCTAGCCCGTGCACACACTGAGACAAGAAAATCCCTGAAAACCCCCCTCCATGTACTGCGCAAGCAAGAGAGGAGAATCTCTCACAAGTAACAAGTAGCTGTGTCAGCACCAGGACTAACTAAGAAGCCTGCTTTCTCACGGACAGGTTTTGTAGTTGTTTGTCATCTCTCAAACAGCATTCTAGCCTTCAGGGCGTTCGTAACTGCACTCCCCAGTGTAGATTCTCTTGCCCTAAATAAACGGTGAGTTTGGCCAAACCCTCCGCCCACACTCCCTACCACAGAGTTGCAGCCTTCTCCTCTAGCTGGACACATTTTATTTATGAAAGGGGTCGGACTATAATGCTTTTAGGATCCTTCCCCCTCTGTTACCTTTGGCTGAAGTCGATCAACTGAGTCAAAGTTACTGGGAAGCCGGGGGACAAGCACACACGACGGACATCCAGCATGCCTGCCTGGGCCTTGGTTTCCTGGCAAAGGTGCCTAAACATAGCATTTTGAAAGGAAGATGAGCTACAATGTCATCTTGAGCACCACATTCAAGGACAAGTCAACCGGGTGACATGCTTACCTTCAAGCCATGCTTCTTCCACTACAGACACTGCAAACACGTTTGGCATAACTATTCTGGAGAAGAGTGGCTCTAGTATACATGCTGGAGCCAATGCCACTGCACTCTAAACCATCTCCCCTCTGCCCCCAAATTATTATATAAACCTTTTTCTTAAGCTGCTTGTTCAGAAAACTTGTTTGAACTTGTACACGGCTAAGGCTTAGCTTCATACTTTGATCTAACAAAATGCGAAGACAAAACGCTAGTAACTAAAATACTACTCAATGTCCTATTCTAAGAAAATGTATTCCCCTCACTCACAACACGACACTTAAGAGCAAATGCTGACTTTCAGCCACGAGCTCATCTTAGCACAGTCAAATAAACTTCCGAAAAATACAAGGTATCTTCCCCTTGAGCATTCAATCCCCACTAATCTTCAGTGTTTAATACTGCCTTAGCTTAAAAGAGCAAAGAGAATGCATTATATCTACTAGATATCTCACTGTCCTAAAGTTCATTAAAAAGAGTGAGATGCTGGATTTTCCAACCTTGTTCTTAATTTTCTTTTGGAACAACTCATTTTCCCTACTAATAGCAGCTAATTATTACTTGGGGACGTGAGGGGGTGTTACAGTGTTGCAGTAGTGTTTATTGACCTCAGTTCCCAAAGAAACACACGTAACAAATATATATGTATATGTGTATCCATGTATACATGGGAGGGCTTAGGGGTGGACAGTTACCCGTTACAAACAAGCAGTACTAATGTACAAACTACTGCTTGCTGCAAAATCAAGTGAATAGCAGAAGAGAATCAAGTATTGGTTGATGAAGTGCTTCAATTACTTTGAGAGGAACACAATACACCAAACAGGAGTAAGTAGAGTGATGTTAAAGACAGCATTCACTGTTTTGAAATGACAGTAGAGTTCAACAGTTTAGATTTTGGTCACCAGACATACAAAGCCTGTGGATTATCCTCCTTTACCACTGAAAGCTTACAACTTTAAGGAAACGCTAGCTATATCTGGCCAACCAAAGGGACCTATGAAATAGAAACAAATGGCAGTAGAAAAAAACCCTGTGTTGACTACTTTGAAATAACACCTCCCAAGTGTGCAGCTAGTTGACATAAATGGAAACGCATTGAGGAAAAGAGCTGTGAAGCTGTGTAACAGTCCTGTTCCTAATCATTAATCACTTTTTTTAGACCATTTAAACTAGCCCATTAGAGCCTGCAGCAAAATGCCAACACTCCCATCACTTGCATGTCAGCAGTGCTGGTGTTAACAGGAGAAAATATATGGTTTCTATGACTGTGCCCCAGTTCTACAGCATTTGCTACCTTTAATTGAAAAAGGCAGTTAAACACAAGGTAAATCATTCAGTTGGCTAAGCTGTTTAATAACACGTAATTGATAATGTCAATATGTTACAGTGACATAATGCATCACTTTCATCACTCTTATGCTTCAAATACGGTCAACTTATACTTCAAACATTTACTTTATATCTGCTATTTAATGAAAAACCCAGGGAGAACCGCCTTGAGTACCACGTGTGGAACATACGTACGACACACACCACTGCCTCAACACATCTGCGGGTTGGTTAGAAACAACGCTTGCAACTTTGTGAAAATCGTTTAGTTACGTCATTAGCAACTTGCTTTTCGTCTCAAAACACCAGAAGCTCCTATTGGAATAATACGTATTTCCCTGATAAAATCTGTTGAAAAAGAGCATGAAAAAATCTGCACAAGAAAAAGCAACTACTTGTTTTCTGAAATGTGTCCCAATCCTGCAGTCTTTTGCTTAACTTTTCACATGTAACCAGGCCAGCAGTAGCCATCAGGACTTGTTGTTAGTATAAGGCAAATCACATGCCTAAGTGTTTACAAAATCATACCCTCTAAATATGGAATATGATCTGGAGTAAGAAAAAATATATCTTATCAGCCATGTACAGACAGTGTGGTTAAACATGACCAACCCCATTATACAATACAGTGGTTTTTAACATGTATTAATTAAAAAAAAAAATTATTTCTACAAGTATTTTAAATGGGCGAGAACATTTGACCTGTTTATTATATAATAAAAACGTAACTACTGACAAGAACCATGCAATTCTCTCTTCATCGTGTAGCAGAGAACAAGCAGATGGTTGCAAAATGGGACCGGTTTTTGGTTTTGTTTTTCAAAAAAAAATAGCCCCCTCAAAAAAAACCAAAAACAAACAAACAAACAAACACACACCACAAAACCCAACCAAAACAAAAAAAAAGCGCAATCAACTTTTAGTCACCACTGTTACAGGATGCATGCAGGAAAAGAAAGTGATGGAGCAGACTCAGTGGTAGCAGGCAAGACAAAGTGTGCTGCCACTTTGAACCTCCATTACCTACATGTAACTATAATATTTGTTTGCCCTGAGATTTTAATTGTATCATAGACAAAATGGCTAGGAAGGTTCAGTATTCTGAAAATACAACTATGCTGCCTCATAAGTTTGC